TACTTTTGATACAATGCTGCCAAGTATGTTGGGGGGGGGGCTCTTCCTGAAGTCCACTGTCATCTCCCTAGATAAACTAGTGTTTCACACAAAAACAAAGAACAGTGACCCTCCAGATTCATATGGTGGCTGTTTAGAGGGGAGCGACCCGTAGGTTGGGAACCACTGGACTAAACTAGCAGCACCTGGAGGAGCTGCAACAGGAAAATGCTGCTGCACTAGAAGTACATTTGGCTGAGAATGCTTAGGTACCTAGGACTTTCACTTGTACACAGATTGTTTCTTTTGTTTAAGGATGTAAAGTACTACACTTGTTCATGTTGCCTGTCTTGGTCCCATTTTTAGGTGCAACTCTGGTCTAATCTGATCTGTTATTTCTTCTAGGGAAACTTGCATGATCGCTACGGCCACATTGTTGCCTTGTCAGCCAAATTCCTCTGCCTCAAAATGGAGTTTCATACAAAGGTAACATTTTTATTTGCTGTACAGTTACAGAAAGATGAAACCAAAGTTTGATGACACCAACCTCTCATCCACAGCACAAAGTGATCCCAGGCAACCTGGAGGCCAGCGATGAGGCTCTGGAGAAGGAAGCAGGAAGTGACATGACCAATGTGTACGATTTCTATGTTCGTGTTGCTGAGCATGAATATAGTATATGTCAGTAAATATGTTGCTAATGATGCTTCATATTGTAGGTTGGACATGACACAGGAGCTGCTGGATTACCTGGATGCTGGACTGAAGATGGCTGAGACCGGTAAGTCCCTCAGGAACTCCATCTGTGTTCATTCATAGCGTGACACCCTCACAAGCATCTGTTTGTAATGACCTCCCTCTGGAAGGCTGAGGCAGGTCAGATTTTATGTCTGTTATTTGTCAACACATCCTATGAACAGACCAGAGCCAACAATATGTCCACTACACAACACTTTGACTTCCCTACTGTGTCTGTGGGCCTCCAGCCCATTGGCTCCTTCTGAAGACGTTAACCTTTAAAAACTGGTCACGAACATATTTCGTTACTTGTATTTTTCTAAATCAGCTGGACACTGTCATTTTTAGCAAATGTTATTCAAACAGAAGGAAACAGAGCGTTTGTCGGGGACTATTTCCAGTGGCGGATATGTACACGGTTGGTGCTTTAGAAAAAGTATTACAGTATTAGTAACTATGATAATAAGGACTTTATTTATAGCACCTTTAATGCAGAGATGTAGCTCAAACAGTTTTATGAAACTTGGCCAAAGACGAAATAAAAACAAGAATATTTGAAAACAGGACAACAGGACCGATACAACCAACAGGAAAAGTTATATAAGGAGCAAAGATGAAATGTTAATAGCTCAGGTTGGTTTAGCCCAAATTAAATGTGAGATTTAAAAGAAAGATCTTGGTCTTTTTTAAAATTCAAAAAGCAGAAAGCAGCCTGAGTAGACTTCTTAATGAAAACACAAGGAAAGGCAGCAGAGATCTGAAAGTACTATGGTAAATATACATGTAAATAGTAAGTGAAGAGCATTTGTGGTAGCAGGACCATGTGTATGGGACTGAGGCTGAGGGCTCACACTCACAACACTTCTTCATCAGAAGACCATGAAACATCTCTAATTTGGCTCCGATGTGTTGTTCTTGACTAAAGTCCTCCGTCAGCTCGATGCCAACAAGGCCACATCTACCACTCCGGCCGGACAGTGCAGACTGACTCCGCTGATACCCCTCATACTGGACTGCAGCTTCCTCTACCACTTCTCCGTCCGGCTGATGTTCAAACTCCACAGCCGTGAGCGACCTTTGAATGTGTTCTGTTATACAGTTCAACCCTCACTGTGTTAGATCGAGCCTCATGTGAGCTGCATCTGCTCTACAGGCATCGCTCCAGATGTTCTTCTTGGACATCGTGAGCGGTTCCGTGATCTGTTTATGAGGTAAAGTATTTTGAGCTGACCGACCTCAGCAGCCAGAGGAGGAATCCTAGCGCTCGGTGCAAGATCTCTGGCTTTAGATAAATGAGCTAGAACACAAGGTTCAGAGCCAAACTTTTGTTCTTTGTCCTTAATTTTGACCTGAACAAGATAGTTTCTCTTTTCAAACTGCAGTAAAATGTTACTTTTAATAAAGTTGCAGCACAAATTATTCCTGTCGACAAACAGCTTTTCCACCTCTGTATTAGCTCTATCAGGTTGTTACTAACAGCTGTTTTCTTCTGCAGTCTGAAGCAGTTCTTCAACAGAGCCAGAGAGATGGAGTTCTTTAAGAGTATCATCCAGATCCCAGATCTCCCAGATGTAAGTGTAGCTGTAACATCTTGGGAGCTTCCACCTCTGCTTCTCTGCTTTTCCATCATGCACATGTATTTTGCTTTTTATGACCCCACAGGCTCCTCCAAACTTCCTCCGAGCTGCCGCCTTGGCTGAGTACAAAAAGCTGGTGGTGGTGATGCCCAACGAGGTGCGTCATGAAGAGGAAGAGGTGGAGCCGCAGCCAGAGTTCAGGGAAGCGCCGGAGATGTCACAGGTGTCCATGCACATGGAAAGATAAACTATTTTAATGTTTTCCACGTCTTTGTCTGTTGTCTAGACTAACTGTGTCTTCTCATGCAGTACTATTCACTCAGCCAGCTGGGAGTTCCTGAAGCTTCTCTGGAGCCAGACAGTGAGAGTCTGAGGAAGGAGCTGGAGGTGCTCAAACCAGAGCTGCAGCTCATCAAGACTGAGGTCAGTCTCTGGTGCTGGACTGGTTGGTCTAAGACAGGGCTTCTCAAAATGGTACAGTGCAGAATCAAGACAACTAGAAAGTATAATGTCACCATGGAGTCAGTGAGTCAGCTGTGAGCTATGATGTGAGCGTATATTGGTTCACACATTGGGTCAGTGGTGCCGAGTTAACCAGGTCGTGTTTGCAGCAGATGCACAGACAGCTATCGGTGCTGTACATTTCCAGTTGATAAAGGTGAAACATACAGTTGTGTTCCTCCCGTGCTCAGGCTCAAAAGTGTGTAACTGAGTTAAAGGCTCAGGTGAACCGTCTAGAAGCTGAGGTCGAGGAGCAGCGCACACACAAACAGATGGCTATGGTGGAAAACGAACACCTGCGGATGGAGGTGGACACGTTACGGTGTGCCAGCGTCGCTGGTGTCGAGGCCCAGATTGGATTCAAGGATGCAGATGGTGAATAGCCGTTTCTGTGTGCATGTCAATGAGCCATGCAACTGAAGCTGAATCGTACTGAGATGGTCTGTCCTCTTCGTCCTATTGACTCCACACAGGCAGAGCTCAGGCAGCAGAGCTACGTTTCACTCAACTCAAAGACAGACATGCCGAGCTGGTTTCCAGTCACGCTGACCTCATGAAGAAGGTAAACTGCACCGCCCATGTTGTTTCCTGCACACAGACGGATGAGAACACTGATGCCGCTCTCTTATCTGCATAATAAATAAAAAGCTACATCAAACTCTTGGCAAGAAAACAAATATGTGTAATTCTTGGTGCTGAACTATCCTTAAAGAGAGTTGTTGATGTTGTGTGTGCAGAATGCAGAAACAGTGAAGCTGCTGTCCGCTATAAAACAAGAACAGGACGATTTGCTGAAAGCCAAGAAGCACCTGGAGAGTGAGCTGGAAAATCTGCAGCACGAGAAAAGAAACACGGTGAGACCTTGTCAACCTCTGGGCTCTATCTGCTGCAGCTAAAACACCTGCTGCTGATAAACATGTCAGCCAGGCAAGAGCAGTGGCTTTGGTCTGATAGACTGAATCTGTTTCCTCTGTCGACACCTGCTGCTGATAAACATGTCACCCAGGTAAGAGCAGTGGCTTTGTGCTGATAGACTGAATCTGTTTCCTCTGTCAATCAGGTGAACCAGCAGGACCAGGAGGCTGAGCGCCTGAATAAGCAGCTACTGGAGCAAAGTGCGGAGCTGGCTCTCCTTCGCAGCACCCTGGTCAATAAAGAGATGGTAAGAATGAATGTAAAACTACACAGACTCTTAGTGGACCAGCTTTAGTTAATGAGTCTGATTTTTCAAAGGCCTTACATTGGCTTCCATATGTTCATGTCATTTTGTTCAGGAGGCGTCTCAGGTGAGCAGCAGCCTGGCAGCTCTGCAGGCGGAGCGCGATGTGCTGTTACGCTCAGCCACTGAAAAGGACACGGCACTGTCTTCACTGAGACAACAGGCACAGCAGCAGCAGAGCTCCCTGGACCTGGAGAGAGACAGGACCAACAGAGAGCTGGAGGCTCTGAGGGCTCAGCTACAGCAGCAGGTACCGAAATACCTGCCAGGGTCACGGCATCAAACACGTCTGTGTCTGCAGGGCACAGTACAGCCGGGTGGTGCTCTGGTCTGGTCCAAGGGAAACCCACTAAACTTATATGTCTAAGGTCACAGCAGTGTTGTCTTTCAGCTGTGCCACAAACATTCAGGCCTGAACTACTGTGATGTTTTATTTACCCACCTTATGGATTCACAAAGCTGGGATAGAGACCTGGTTTCACCGCCCCCCTCCCCAGAGCTGACAGATTCAGAAAGTGCCCAGCTACACACTCAGTTGAGAACGGCTCAACTTTAAAAACTTCTGTCATCTGACGCAGTAGGGAGAGCCAATTGTTGTCCCACCGACAGAAAGAAGAGATGTGAGGAGAGAGGAATCAAGGACATGTTTATGCAGACGTGCACCAACTGATTTCTGATAAAGGGGCGTCAGTCCATAACAGACTTCTGTGAAGGATGTTCTCATGTATCCTCACTCATGGCTCCTTCAGCAGCCTCCTCGCTCCTCAGAGCGAGAATAAGAGCTTTGGGACGTCCTTCAAGACAGAATTTATAGGCACAGAGGTTGTTCTGCTCCATGACTTCTGTGCTTTTGTAGCACAGATCAAAACATACGTATGTTGATACACTGACCTTCCTGTCTGACAGCTGGGCTTGTTTGCATAACACTGCTTTGTCATTTCTCCACCAGCTTTTACTAATGTCTACTGTTATGGGTGACTTTATATGTCCTTTTGTGTTTTTTTAAGTACTGCTCACTCCTTGAACATTAAGTATGAAAGCTGTTTTCATACTTTCATACATCTCTTTATGGCTGTTTTCCTTAGATTGCCATTAATGCAGAGCAGAAGCTGGAGATCGACAGGCTGAGACGAGAGCTGGACTCGACCCGAGCAGAGCTGGCCCGTGCAAACAGCGCCCTACAGAGCAAAGAAATGGTAGGATTATTTCTGGTAGCTTTACTCGCATCATCCACGAGTCTTCTCGAGGTACTACAGCCACCTGTGTTTTGTTCCTCAGAGCGGCACCCAGCTGAGCAGTACAGTAGCAGGGCTGCAGGCGGAGAGGGACGTGCTACGGCGCTTGGTGGGGGAGCATGAGGTGGAGCTGAACTCGCTCAGACAGGAGGCTCAGCTCCATCAGAGCTCCCTGGAGCAGGAGAGGCAGCGGAGCAGCATGGAGCTGGGAAGCCTACACGCCCAGCTACAGCAGAAGGTGCTGTACTCTATAACACAGATACTGTATAAATTAGATTTAGGGGGGAGTCATACACTGATTTGAATTGGAGCCAGTTTGAAGCCCAGAGTTGCAGCTTACAGTCGGCACCATCTTTCCTTGGTGGAGCCAGGACATTCCTAATAAGAAGTCTGGGCTGCTGCCTTTGCCCCGCTACCTCAGACTGAACACCAGAGAGCGGCCACGCTTCCCTCCTGCTACCTACTGAACTACAAATGTTCTGTTCCACATGGCTGTTTAGGTAGTTGGTGAACAGCGAGTCTTGTTGAAATCAAGATCTCTCTTTGCAAGAGAGCAAATGCAGCTCATTCAACCCAGACCACCACACACATGCATGGCCACACTAATTAAAACAATCAGGTTTTATTAGCAGCATTAGGTAGTAAACCTCAAGCTGTGTTGTAGCTCAGTGCAGTAGTGATGTGCACAGTACCTGGTAAATGTTAAGACACAAAGATATGTTGAGTCAACTTCACCTGAGGTAGAAAACATCAAATGCCGCCTGTGCACCAGAAACACAGTCAACTAGCTAACTAGCAGGTGAGCTGCTGCACTGTACAATGCAAACATACTTTATATACAACTAAATGCTGAGAAAAACAGAAGCTGTGAACGTCCAGGAGCTGGAGAGAGCAGCTGGCTGCCACCTGTCAATCATCAAAGTTTCTGTAAGCTCTAAAATCTGATCAATGGAGCAGTAACTTCCAAAATGATCAGTGCACTTATTAGAGGGTCTGAATTAAATGTATAACCGTGTAGTAAAGCTGAGCTATTGATGGGTTCATGTGTGTGGAAACAGGCATGTCGTGAAGAGGAGCTGACCCAGAAGCTGCAGGGGGAGCAGTTCTGCCTGCTGCAGTGTGCTGTGGTCGAGGCTGAGGGCATCATACTGGATGCTGTGGCCAAACTGGATGACCCCATACACCTCCGCTGCATCAGCTCGCCTGGTAAAAATGCTGTTAACAAATATTTTCATAAGCAGCATTAACATACAAGAAAGACTTTGGCAGCAAATTCTCACATTTAAGACTCTTGATAATCAACTATTAATTACAAGTCATTGTGAATAGACCTCATCTTAATAAACAACCCCGTGGTCTTTAGTTTGTGATTGGTATTTGCTGCCATTCTCAACACCAGTTCTCCCTTTGTTTCAGATTACTTGGTGAATCGAGCTGAAATCACTCTGGCTTCTATCGACAAAATGCAGCAGAGCCACCTGGTCTACCTGGGGAACAGGAACGGTACAGGAGGGGCTGTGTGTGTGTGTGTGTGTTCAGGTTCGATGTGTTTACCTCAGATGATACAACTATCTAATGTTGCTCTGTTTCTCCAGACGCCAGTGGTTTGTTGAGAACGGTCACACAGTTCTCGCACCTCGCCGCTGACACCATTGTCAATGGAGCGGCAACATCCCACTCTGCTCCGTCCGACCAGGCTGACCGTAGGAGGCACACAGTCACGCCGTAACAGTCAGTGATGCACACTCAGTACACTGCCCATGAACAGTAAACACCACTTCCTGTCTCTCGGTCTCCCGCAGATTTAACTGACAGCTGCCGGGACTGTGCCAATCACTGCCTTCAGTACCTGAAGGACCTGAAGTTTCAGGCCAGTTTACAGAGAGCAGACCCATCTGCGATACGCTACACTGTCCAACGCATCCTCTCGCTGGGACAGGTGGGACACGGCTCAGAGACAACCTGAGCAGGAATAGTGTTCACCATGTTTCAAACCAGCACAGGCACCGACTCACTGCTCCCTCTGAGAACCTGCTGCTCTAGCTCTGACCTTTAACTGTGTGACTCTTGTCCAGGGTTTGTGTCCAAAGGGACAGGATGTGCTGAAAGAGGAGCTGGGAGACATGGTGGATAAAGAGATGATCGCTACGTCTACTGCCATTGAAGACGCTGTGCTGCGTATGGACGTAAGGACGCACACATCTTGGCGGGTAAACCTAGACACACCTGCGTCTGGTGATGGTTAACATTTCTGTGTCAATGTCCGTCTCACAGGAGATTCTGAATCAGGCAAAGAGAGGCTCTACTGGTGTGAAGCTGGAGGTCAACCAGAGGTGAGAGGAATTCTTTCTTATTCTAAAATGCTCATTTTCTTCCCTGCGATCTGTGTCATGTTGTTCTGCTTCATCACAGTATCCTGGGCTCCTGTTCAGACCTGATGAAGGTGAGAAGTCTGTCCACTGCTTTCCATTCATTTACTATGAGCTGGTGATTCCTTTTCCCTTCATTCATTCTGCTCTGCTCTCTCGTCTCCAGGCCGTTCACATGCTGGTGACAGCTGCTACCGACTTACAGAAAGACATCGTGGAAGGAGGCAGGGTGAGTGACACGTTCAGGCTGAACTGAGCTACACTTAAAAAGTCAAGCTGGGAGTTTAAAAAGCAAAGAGCCTAGCAGCTCTCTAGGGATCATAGCCGATCAGAAAGGAGGATTTCATTTGGATTGTACTGGTGTGTTGCAGCTCAGTCATACAAATACACTGACTGGGATGAAACAACAGGTTATGGACTAAAAACCAAACTGGATAAGAAATTCTGCTGCCAATTGACAAACTTCACTGGACAACTGCCATAATACGGAGCCTTCAGTACAAAAGTGTGTGTCCATGGAAAGTGCCTATGAAAAACACCAGCGTTAGTTTTATTCTTTCTGAGAACAACACTGGTGTGACAGGCGCTCAGGAGATCAGGCAGCAATTTTTGCAAAAGTTGAATGTAATTACTAATTTTTAATTGGCCAGTCCATTCATCGGCTTCCTGTCCAGCTCACACTATAAAACTGAAAATTATTGCTGTAACAATAAAGATATATAATAATATAAATTCATGGGAGGCCTTGTTGTCCAAACTGGTTTCCGTCATTCTTTGACCAGAATGACCATGACACAGGCACAAACAGGTAAAACTGTGTTCTTTGTGGATTTAGCAAGTCAGAAATGTAATTTAACACTGCGTTAACAAGGAGCAGTTTTAGCAAGTCAGAAATTTAACACTGCGTTAACAAGGAGCAGAAATCACAGACAAGTAGTCATACATTTGTTGTTGCTTTTCCTGAAGGGAGCAGCGACTGTTACTGAATTTTATGCCAAAAACTCTCGCTGGACAGAAGGACTCATCTCTGCCTCTAAGGCTGTGGGCTGGGGCGCCACACAGCTGCTGTACGTATCCAAACATGCCTACATGAGATACCGGTACTGAAAGTCAGACCTGTACACAGTGTCACATGTGTTCATCTTTTTGCTCTCAGAGACTCAGCTGACCGGGTTGTGGGTGAACAAGGTACGTACGAGGAGCTCATTGCCTGTTCCCACGAGATCGCTGCAAGCACCGCCCAGCTAGTCGCTGCCTCAAAGGTACAAAATGAAGTAAAACATCCTCCTGTTGGGTTGCAAACAAAGTCTAAACATCATAAAGGACTAGTGGTCCTGGTAGTGTCTGTACATTTGTTCAAGCAGCATGCACCCACGAAGCATGGCGGTGACGTGATGCACATTTAGTACTAAAACTATACTTTAGCTTTTCTCTTTTATGCTGTTTTATGCCTTTGCTGGCTGTTTCAGATGCAAACACTATTTACTCCACTTCAATCATAATTGCTGTTAATTTTATATAAGATATTGTGAATCCGTACTAAAAAGCTGCATGTAGTTGGTCACATTTTAGATATCTGAGCTGTCCACAGGTCCTCCTATGTCACCATTACAGTTTGTCCACCAGAGCTCTGACACCTTCATGTCCCTATTAGTCCGCATCATCAAATCTCTTTATGTTACATGCTTTTGTACAAAAACAATCTGTATCTGCTGATAAATGGTACGTTTTCTCCCAGATAACACAATTACATCAACCTGCTGGGTGATAGTGTCAACACTGAGCTCTGTGGGTTTGTCACAGTAACAAGGGCCCTGTTTCTAAAAACATCCCTGTTTAATATCTTTAAATATACATTTTCAGTGCTGCAAGTGCCACAGAAAAAATCCTGTCACCTCGATCGTAGTTTAGTGAAGACAGAAATCTCAGAGGTGGATGTAAAAAACCTGGGAAAGTAAAATTGAAACAGTCAGAACAAACAGCACCACAGAAGATCATACACAGTGGGTCTTGGTGAAAATATTGAAACAATCAGAACAAACAGCACCACAGAAGGTCATACACAGTGGGTCTTGGTGAAAATAACTCAGTGCATTCATTTAGATTACTGCAAGTGCTGGTGCGTTCATTTTCAGGTGAAGGCGGACCGCAATAACAAGAAGCTGCACACGCTGCAGCAGGCCTCCAGCCACGTCAACAACATGGCTGCCGGTTTTCGCCACCGGAGCTGCTAAACGCTCCACTGTGTTCACCTGCTGGTCTCTGACTGGCTCTGTCTGCAGACATTGGCTGTTTAGAGTGTTTTCTCTGAAAACAGCTGCTTCCTGCTGCAGCTGGAGATGACAGCAGAGCAGAAACACTACAGCTGGGGGCTTTAAAACAGTGAGCTAAAAAACACTATGTAGGCTGAGGGGGACTGCAGTCAGCTGAGAGTTCTGTGAAGGTTCATCACTATGAGTAACACCTGTACATTAACTTCATCCATCGCTAATATAACAACATAGATCAATGCAGCTTTAACTCTCTGATTTGATGCTGTTATTACAGTTGTTAATAGAACAACATAGATTAATGCAGCTTTAACTCTGATTTGATGCTGTTATTACAGTTGTGATGGACTTCTCTGGCATGTCTCTGATCAAGCTGAAAAAAGAGGAAATGGAGACTCAGGTGAGTTGGTTATGTCCCGACATCTACCATCTTGTTTTGCATGTAGACCAGTGACTGTCAGAAGGTTCTTCTGCAGCCGACAGAGGGCACATGAAGACACTGTAGAGTCGGTCAGCTGTAACACCTGAACGCTATGAGCTCTGGCTGAAAATGTGTGAGAAGTAGTTAGCAAGGAGCAGAGCACTGATGAAACAACATTTCATTTTGGATGGAAACATACATGAGATTCATCTTCTGTTGCCGATTTTCTCGACATTTGTTGAAACTGGAAGCCCACTAACGGGTGTTCTGCTCTGTGAATGTCTCAGGTAAAGGTGCTGCAGCTGGAGACCCAGCTGGAACAGGAGCGAGTCCATCTAGGGGAGCTGAGGAAGAGGCACTACGAGCTTGGTGTCTCTGGGGCCGACAGTGAAGCAACAGACGAAGATGACAGCTTCCCACCGCCGCCGCCACCTGTCCTGCTCGACTCCACACCAGTACCTCTGTCCTTTTCACAAATGGAGCCTTATCAAAACACTCCGAGCTTTGCACAGACCAACCCGTTCGCTCCAACTCAAACGCAGTCCTTCTCGCTGCCTCAGTCCTACACACCCACAAACATCTACACACCTGCTCAGAGCTACACCCCATCCCAGCCCTACATCCCTGCTCAGCTTCTCCCACAGACGCAGCATTACACACCAAGCGCAGCCCAGAGTTACCTAAAACCTCAGACGTACTCACCATCACAGCCCTCATCACACGCATCAGGCCCGGCCCAGCCTCAGCCACTCCAGACAGCCCCACAGAGCAACACAGAGCCCATAAAACACGCCTCCAAGAAATCCAATATCTTTACCAAATCTGGGAACTTGATGAAGAAGGCGGTAAGTGCTGCCTGTCACCTGCATCTGCTTCATAGTGATCACATAACGTATGCTTGACAAGAACACGCATGAGTCTGTTTCTGTTCCAATTACAGTTCAAACGAGGTGAAACTGGAACAGGGGAATCCTGAAGTGGGACTGAACAGAAGACAGTGATTTTACTTCCACAGCTGATTGAAACCCCCAAGTTAAAATATTTAATTTTATATCGGACTCTAATACATGTGACACATACTGTTGCTTTGTATGTGTTTTGTCTTTTAATGAAATCACAACATTATAATGCATTTCCATCTGGTATTTGTAATCACACTGAAGCTCCTGTTCTCTCACAAACTGGTGTGGAAAAACCAAAGTAAAGGTTGAATCCCTGCAGACTGTCAACAGTGTTTTCTCATGCACATTTGTCCCAGACTGACATGTTGTATTTCTGATCAAGTCCAAGCTGAGTGTGTGTGGGAATTCAACCTTTCCTTGTGCATGTTTTCATCTTCCTGTGCACCAGTGTGCAGCAGACAACACTGCTTGATCATGTACACAGAAGAAACCAATTAAAAACCATCAATTCATCTGACTGCAGCAGTACTTTGTGTTTTTTCCTCAGATTTTTCAAATATGTTATGGTACTACCATTAAGCGGCTCAGATGAGGCCCAGAGGTTGCTGTCTGGGGTGTTGAATGACAGAACAAGTGGAGCTCTCTGCATCAGCTCAGATGAGGCCCAGAAGTTGCTCTCTGGGTGTTGAATGACAGAATAAGTATCCCTGTTGTGACAGAACAAGTGGAGCTCTCTGCATCCTGTAATAAATTCTCAGTGACCTCATCTGTCTGTTATTTCTGTCAGCCACAAAACAAACTGCAGGCTCACCACCATGGAAGTGGCCACTTTAGATTCCCACAGGGACCGGAGGGGTCAAGTTAGGAAAAATAACAAAAATACCGGAATTAGAAAACACCACCTTCAAAATAAAAACAAAGGACACCACACTTCAGAGACTAAAACGTCTCTAAATACTAACAAAACCCGGGTCAAACGACTGGATAAAAGGTTGGAAGCCAGTAGTTTGAAATTTTGTACCAATAAATTTTTTTTCTTTAGTCTATATTATTTTTAAAATTAAAATCTTGTTCTGTCAAGTAACGCTGTCTAAACGCAATAGAGTAAAAATAAAAAATAGCATTTGCCCTGGAAATGTAGTGGAATAAAAGTAGCATAAATAGAAGTAAACACGTAGTATGTAATTACTGTGCTCAAATACAGTTCGTACAGTTTGTACAGCCGTCTTCCATACACAGGGATACTAAATCTGAGTATGGACACTTTTCATACTTCAGCCCAAAGAGGACAAGATTTAATCTCACTGTTGTGATTACTGAGGAGAAGATGAATGCAGTGACTATTTCTATAATTTCATATTACAATAATGAGAAATGGGACTCATCTCCAAACACAAAGCTACAGTACTACCTATCAGTACTACTTGTAGTATTATAAATTACCGATTATAAAAATAACTATAAAGGTACAATATCTGCTTCTGTAAAGTAAAGTACAATTAAAATACAAACTTCCTTTCCACCACTGGCAACACGCTCCTCCTGGTTGTATTTTGAAACGTGTAGCCGGAAGTGTGGCGTTTTATTTTGAAGTGATTGACGACAGTAAAGCCGCACACAGTCGTCACTAATGGAAAAGCGATAGTTGGAGTGTTTTTATAATTGTCTGTGTATTTTTCGGAGGCTTTAAAGCCAGAGTGTAACTTAGCCGAGTTCTTCCAAGCGGAGGAAGTTTGCGGTGGCCGAGGAAACAGGACAGGAAACCAGGGAAACATGGAGGACCCCGGCTCGGCCCTGGAGAAGAATGTGGCCGACCTCACGGTGATGGACGTGTATGACATCGCCGCGGTGGTGGGCCAGGAGTTTGAGCGGATCATAGACCAGTACGGCTGCGAGGCTCTGTCCAGGCTCATGCCCAAAGTGGTGCGGGTGCTGGAGATCCTGGAGGTGATGGTGAGCCGCAGCTGCATCAGCCCGGAGACCGAGGAGCTGCGACTGGAGCTGGACAGGCTGCGGCTGGAGAGGCTGGACCGGCTGGAGAAGGAGAAGAGGCACAGGAAGGTCGGACACTTTTAGCCAGTCTCTAGTTTTACCTGACTCCTGGCATTGACATGCTGCTAGGGAAATAATGGAAATAATAAACAAATAAACAAATAAACAAATAAACAAACAAACAAACACACCGACTTGACCAGGACGCAGAGGCGATTACTGTGATGTAAGAAGTAATATTTCTTTTAAGCAATACATCGTCTACAATGTCCAAGTATAAATACGTCCTGCAGGTAAAATGTTAGGTAGCAGTACCACACAGTAATAGTACTGTTAAAGTACCACTACCACACAGTAATAGTACTGTGTTAAAGTACCACTACCACACAGTAATAGTACTGTTAAAGTACCACTACCACACAGTAATAGCACTGTTAAAGTACCAGTAATACACAGTAATAGTACTGTGTTAAAGTACCACTACCACACAGTAATAATACTGTTAAAGTACCACTACCACACAGTAATAATACTGTGTTAAAGTACCAGTACTACACAGTAATAGTACTGTGTTAAAGTACCACTACCACACAGTAATAGTACTGTTAAAGTACCACTACCACTACCACACAGTAATAATACTTTGTTAAAGTACCACTACCACACAGTAATAATACTGTTAAAGTACCACTACCACACAGTAATAATACTTTGTTAAAGTACCACTACCACACAGTAATAATACTGTTAAAGTACCACTACTACACAGTAATAGTACTGTGTTAAAGTACCACTACCACACAGTAATAGTACTGTTAAAGTACCACTACCACACAGTAATAGTACTGTTAAAGTACCACTACCACACAGTAATAGTACTGTTAAAGTACCAGTAATACACAGTAATAGTACTGTTAAAGTACCACTACCACACAGTAATAATACTGTGTTAAAGTACTACTACCACACAGTAATAGTACTGTGTTAAAGTACGACTACCACACAGTAATAGTACCCTCCAGTGAAATGTAGTACGATATGGAAACACACTGGTGAATGTGCTGAGAGCAGACTCTAGTTTAGACAGTTTGGATTAGGTCAACGAGGTGTCATAGGTCATAGAAGACTGCTAGACTGTGATCAGCCTGACAGCGTCTCGTGTCCGTGACTGGGTCCCTGGTTGACTGATTAACTGTGTCTCATGACAGTGATGAAGTGGAGGTTTCTGAGTCAGAGGCCTTTATGATCCTGCCTCATTTTCACATGGAAAACATTACATCTACAGCAGAAACACTGGGACAGAGTTTGTGTGTTTCTCCCATGTTCTTATGCATTTCTACATCCATGGGCGCACTGCCAACAGGAGCTGACCACAGCTACACCAGTGTGCCAGATGGTTAGTGTTTGGACAGAAGCATCAACATTATTGTCAAGTATTACAAGTATGAGTAACAAGGCTTTTTTTACTGCTCCAGCTGCTTGGAATAGTTTGCAGAAGGAAATCACAGCAACATCTTGGAGGCCAACATGTGGCCATGTTAACATGGATGTGGACAATAATGTGTAACAATGCATGTGCTGTGTTGTGTGTGTACAGGAGCTGGAGCTGGTGGAGGATGTGTGGAGAGGAGAAGCTCAGGATCTGCTCTCCCAGATCGCTCAGCTGCAGGAGGAAAACAAAACCCTCCTCACCAACATGTCTGTCAAAGACCCCCTGAGTGAGGAAGACCTGCAGAGGCATGAGGGTGAGGATGTGTGCATGTACACACACAGACCAATGTTCACTTTTAGATGGTAAAAACCTAAAACGTGTTGTTTTTTGGTGAGAAACCTGGAACTTGTATAAATCTCCACAGCTTTTTTGTAACAGGGTTTCATGTGGACGTATAATTATAATTATAATTATATAACAGCCAGTTTAGCCTAGCTTAGCATACAGACTGGAGACGGGGGAAACGACTAGCCTGGCTCTGTCCAGCACAAACAAAGCCACTCCTAGCAGCACCTCTCCACAGAGCGTCACATTGATCACATGACAGTGAGTCACAAAACATTTTCTAGGGCCAGACTGAGATGTCTCCTCCTGCCTGTGTCCTGTGTGGTAAAGCTGTAGACAAACCACATTTCCTCTGGGCCACTAATAATAAAGTCTGCAGTGGTTTAATGGCTCCTGACCACCAGCTGTGGCACCAACAATTGCATGATAGTCATCAGTGGAAACTTGCATTCATTTGCATTTTCTTTTGAAGATTTTCTGTAAATTCTATTTCCATTTACACTATATGTGGATGGAAGCTTGTCTGTTTACACTGACCCCATCTCACATTCCCGCCTCTGTGTTATGCACAGAGATACACAAAGGAAGCCTTCTCTATGTTTGACGGCGAGCCAGCCTCGTCCCCGCATCAGAGACTTTTGGTGGTTTCACACAGAGGCCACAGTCACCCTGGCACGCTGTGGACAGACCAGCCTCAGTGAACACTACACCTGCTCCACACACACAGATCAGGGTTCCCTCAGTGCAACTCTGCCCAGTGACAGAGTATAAAGAATGTAAACAAAACTGACTTTACCCTCTTGTTTTGTGTCATCTCCTCTCGCTGTGGTTCCCAGGTACGACAGAGAGAGAGAGGCAGGTGATGAAGAAGCTTAAAGAAGTGGTGGACAAACAGAGGGACGAGATTCGAGCCAAGGACCGTGAGCTCACACTGAAAAACGAGGACGTAGAAGCAGTAAGGCCACATCGACTCAGCTCTGATGTTTTCTACTGCACGAGGAAGCTGTGCATGCATGTCACATGTCACATCCCTGAGCTGGTTCAAGGTCGGCTCTTATTATACAGACTACTGTGGAAAACTGGTAGTTTAACAGATATAGTTTCCTTCTACATGTATGTTGTCCCGTTCACTGTAATGTCACCTCTGCTGATTCACTAACGTGTTACATGCTGCTGGAGATGTGTTTAGAGCAGTTACAAGCTCTGATTCTTACAAGTTTGATGAATAATAGAAGTCTCAATACTTTGAACTGAAATTTATTCAGAAAATTTCACCTAATGCAGAAAAGAAGAGGAGGAACAGGATTAAATAGTTGACTGTAAAACACACAGTGGAGACAGGATGGATTCCTACTGTTCACCCCTTCACCTCCGTCTCTGTCTGTGTAGCTCCAGCAGCAGCAGTCTCGCCTTATGAAGATCAACCACGACCTGCGTCATAAGATCTCTGTGGTGGAGGCTCAGGGGAAAGCACTGATTGAACAGAAGGTGGAACTGGAGGCCAGCGCTCAGGCCCGGGGGCAGGAAGTCAGCGCCCTTCGGCAGGAAGTTGCACGATTAAGGGAGCGACTGCAGGGAGAGAAACCTGTCCAGAGCCTGGAGGAACCCCCACCTCAGCCCCCCTCACCTGCAGAGGTAACACAAGCCTGTTAAAAGTAGTCTGAATTTCACATTGAATTAGTTTTTCAGGTTTAAATTGTATAAGAAGCCCCAGGAAGTACCTGGTAGAGCCGATGTTTGTTTTCGCGCTGAGAGTTAGATGAGAAGAGCGATACCACTCTCATGTCTGATAAGTATGAATTTACAGGCAGGATTCAGTTAGCTTAGCATAAACACTGGAAGCAGGGACAACAATCAAAACAGTTTCTAAGACGGTAAGTGCAGTTTTAAAGGTGCTGGAGTTTGTATCTTCGGACAGAGCCAGGCTGGCCGTTTCCTTCTGTTTCCAGTCGTCATGCTAGTCTAACCGTCTCATGGCACTGGCTTCATACTCACATACAGCATATGAAAGTTGAACCTGTCTTTTTGTCAGACTCTCAGCAACACAGCAATGTCAAACTATTCTTGTAAGTTAGACGGACCGAAGTCTTAGGTACAACTGCAGCTACACAGGCAGGTCATAGGAGTTCCAAACAGCTGTATGAACACTTGGTATGTGCGATTTCAAAGCCTTATGATGACCAGTCAGACTGTGTCCAAGTTGGAGATAATTAGAATAGATTAGATGCATAAATGACTAAAACTACCCAACATCTGTAAATCCAACATCTGACAGTAAAAGGCGCAGTGAACAAATAAGTAACTGTCTTTTACTCCACCAGCGTGGTAAAGCTGCTTCAGTGGTGGTGGGGGCTGAGGGCTGGTCAGATAGACCTGAGCCCTCTAAGCCGATGTCGGGTGGGTCTGACCCGGCCCCGTGGCCCCTGCCCGAGGATGAGGCTGAGGACGAGGCAGCGTTGCTCTGGGTAATGCAGCCGTGCTTGTTAGAAACCAGAGTGGTGTGGTTGTCCTGCCTCTAACAGCGAACCTGCATTCCCCTCAGATGAACAACCTCATAGGTAGACGCTGCAGACTAACACTGGTTTGGCCCATGAGAGGTGTGGACACAGCTCTGCACAGGTGTGTGAGAACTAACAGAGCCAGCGGGATCTGACACTGCTCAGCCAACTGGGCAAGACTCTCTGGACGGCCGCACTGATTCTAAAGATAGATCGCTCTGACAGCTCAGCCTCTAACAGCACAGGAAGTTGTCCTGTCATGTGCCTTGATCCTGAAACACTGACAGTAGAAACAGTCGTTTGAAGTCCAACAGAAATGACACTGCAGGAGTTTCTGTCTGCTCCAAACTGTATCTGCTCTGTTCAGAGGAACATCAGAAGCTAAAGGAGAAAAACATGTTTTGGATTCACGATGATGCCCCCAGCCCCCGGCCGGTGTTGTGTCGCAGGCTGAGCAGACGCACACAGCTGTACTCAGGTTTCTTTTTATTCACAATCATGAACACATCTTGTTCTGCACCTTGCTGAACAAACCACCAAACAAATGTTCACTGGGAAAAATGACCTGCTAATGATAAATATCTGATTAATTCTGCTTGAGTCTCTGCGTTTGGAGTTTGGTGCCACTTCCTGTCTGTACTCCCAGTTATCTCTGCTTACCGACTCCTTTCAGCCACATTATAGCTGTGTTAAGTTGCAAACCAAACATTTCCTACTGTTGCTGCTTCACATTAAACCCAGCAGGATGCTTTTATTGTGAAGAAATGCAATGTATCAAAGATAAACCCCCTTACACTGATGTCCAGTGAGGGTGGACGACCTGACACTCCCCTCCAACTTGAAGCCCAAGGCCTTCGTCTTCTGTTTAATAATATAAAATGCAATAAACAAAAGAACAACACCGACGTTAGTTTTGACTTGACGTGATTTCAGTTGGACTTAAACATGTATAGAACAGATGTTAACAGTCATTCTGGTCTGTAGTTTTACTCAGTGCATGCGCGACCTCCATCAGCTGCATGTGGTTCTCCGGGGGTTTAACTGAGGGTCAGTGTCTCAGGTGGGCTGAGTAAAAAACACAGGTGGTTCAAAGGGAGGAGGGAAGGCTGAACTAAGCACCTGTATTGGAACAAGGGCCCTGTCTGACTTAGACGTTTGCCACCAGGAGGCGATGTGCGATGAGGACATGCCTGCTGTGTTCCAATATTTCACCCAGGTATCCTCACCTCCTTCCTGCCCTGCTTCCTTCTTTCCGGTTTTGTTTCTTGGGTGTGATGCATTTCTCTCTCTGGCAGGAGGCCTTGTGCGAGGAGGAGACGGGGGGCCTGGACCCAAGGGACCCCAACCGGCCCCGGTTCACCCTGCAGGAGCTGAGGGACGTCCTCCACGAGAGGAATGAGCTCAAGGCCAAGGTGTTCCTGCTGCAGGAGGAGCTGGCCTACTACAAAAGGTACTGGAACACACAATGGTGGCAGCGCTACCAAAACACAAGAGATCGTCTTTTAAAACCATTTCTTTCTGTAGTGAACTGAATAAACTTTAATAAGCTCTTTAATTAAAGAGGAGTCTCTCTTTTACCTTTAGGCCAGATGGCTAACAATCATCAGAAGATATGAGGTTCAGAAAACCAGTGTTTTTCTTATTCTTCAGTTTGATCAGTAGAGCAGCCGGCGTCGACGGTGACTTCAGGAAGTATTCAAACCCTTTCACCTTCTGCACACTTAGTGTTGTTGATAAAACTGCCATTTTTACTCCTCAGTCTACACTCAAAAACACATAATGACAAAGTGAAAACATGCTTTTCACTTCCCATCCCATCTGATGGAACCTGACACGATCTTCCAGGAAGAATGGGACAAACGGCTCAAATCCAGGTGTGCACAGCTGGGAGAGACTCACCCAGAGGCCGAGGCTGTCACTGCTGCCAAAGGGGCCTCTACTGAATCCAGGCTCTGAACACTTCTGTGAACGAGAGATGTTTTTGAAAAAAATCCTAAAAACAAGTTTTCATTACGGGTTAATATGTGTAGACTGATGGAAGAGTTCTGTTCATTTAAAACCGATCACAAAGTGTGCAAGAAGTCACAGGGTGTGGATACTTTAAGACCATTTTTATTCCTCACTGTAGTTCTTGGGAGTTTTGATGAAGGCAGGCCCATGACTTCATTGTTCCATCACACTTGCAAAGTGCTGTCTTGTATTTATTAAATACATTAGCATGCTGTCCGTGAAGTGAACTTGTTGCTGCTCTCGCTCTGTGCAGTGATGAAACCGAAGATGAGGCCGTTACCTCCGTTCCTTCTCCCTCCCCTGAGCTGAGGAATCGCTCGCGCTCTGCAGTCCAGCCAGAGTCTGGGATCAAACGCCTGTATGTTCACACGTCTGCAAAGACACTCAGACACATCTGCCCGTGACAACACTCACTGCTTAAAACACACTGACTGAAGGCAGAAGACTGCTCTGCATGTGCTGAGTGAAGGCTGATTTAAATGGCCTCCGTTTCAGGCTGGTCACTTTAGCTTCGTCTCCTGTTTACTGTCGTCTGATAACAGTACACACTCGATATGTACAATATAGATAGTCACACTTTGACAGACTACTGAGGTGGATGTTGTAGACAATGACTTCACATTGTACAGCTTAGAGGACGCTCCAAAGGCAAACACAGCCATCACTCTGTACAGCGTCTGAAGAAAGGAGGAGTCCACGTGACTGGAAGCAACACCTCTAAAGGTGGAGCTATGTTTTGTGGGGTTTTAGTACAAACTGCTGCAGATTCTATGGACACTACATTTTTGTTTCACAGTGGAAACACGTATGTGAGTAAGCATAAGGTGAATTCCAGCACTGTGCATGAGCAGCATGGGTGCACGTTAGCTTGTTTGACTTTGTCTTCCTGCACTATCAGACACATTCATTTCTCTTTGTGCTTTAGGACACACATGCACACTTTGCGAGTGAAGGGCAAAATGTCTTCACTTTGTTCTTCTGTCTGCTCTAGTCAACTGACACGTCTTCTAAATTTACATGAGGTCAAACACACCCTGTCTCCCCATTTGTCCCCCTCCCCCATCTCCATGTGTCTCCTCCTGTCTCTCTGTGTGTAACAGGATCTTCACAGCCATTATGCCGATGGTGGCAGCTGGTCTGATCCCAGATGACCCCACTTTACAGCCAATCAGACGTCTCATTGCGCTTGTATGACTCTATATTTTGTTGGCTTCGAAGTGCATGTGCTGGCTTTCTGGGCCTAGTGTCCACCTTTGTAGCATTCTGATTGGCTGATTGTGGGGCTGTCTTATCATCATCCAATGGGATGACTGCGGATCATAAAATCAGCCAGTCAGAATCGACTGTAGTGTGTCTTGTGTTCCCTCACTGACCACAGTAACTGCTTGTCCTCCTCTGCGCCCGCACTCTGAACTCACAGTCACAGACAACAGCACTGACATAAACGCTACAGTCCTTCTCCGCTGTTTTCACTGACCTACCAGGCTATTGTGGTTTGTTTGCCAAACACAGTACACAACAGTTTGATGCATTTATTTTTTAGGGTAGTGTAGTCTGCATCTAACACTGCTTTACATATGACCATCACTCCCTGTACACACTACATGTGAGGCCCTGTAAAGGACACATTCAGGACCTCACCTGTCCTCTCTCCTCTCAGGTTTAGTTTCTTCTCACGTGACAAACAGCGAACGCCACAGCGGAGCGGCCAGTTTGACGGCGGCCTTGGCTCATATCCAGGGAAGGATGACGTGTACACAGAACAAGCCCAGGAGGCGTTACAGCACATCTAGACAACCTCCCAGACTCTCAACACTCCATATCCATCACTCGAGGCTCACGAAGCATCGACCGCACACCAAACCACCACTATTGACTCACACCGCAACTGAAAGCTCACGTGCATGAGGTGGGAAGATGGACACAAAGAAGCGTGAACAGATCACCTCGAATGAAGCTCCAGAAGAGAAATTCCTCCAAAACTTTTATTCAAACACAAAAGAACTGTATCTCTATAAGTGATGCCACATGCAACCTGAAAATACTTTGAAGGTTTGTACAGGATCAGATGACAGTGATCTGCAGAGGGTCAACTCAAGTCGTAGGATGGAAAGTGGGAAGTTGTTTAGTGACGTGTTGCTGAAAGTAAAGAGTGGGCGACACGCGGAGGTTGGGACTCAGAAGTGTGTGGTCTCAAACTACACAACTTAATCAGGTGAAGAGAATGAAGTTGAGCTTTAAAGCTACTGAATGAAGGGTGAAAGCTTCCTGTTATGATCAAACATGCACTTTCTGAGCTTTGACATTTCTTCACCAAATGAGCAACACTTCTGTGTCCCATTCATTTATTTGAAACGTCTGCTCCTGTGGACGTGGGCAGCTCGGCGGTCCGACACCAGCACGTTGCCGTTTCAAACTCAGAGCTCAGCGCCTGTGTTAAACGCTGTGCACTGCAAAGATAAACACAGATGCACTTTTTATAACATACTGTATGTCATACAACATGCAGTGGGTATGGAAGCCCATTACTGCCAAGGGAAAAAAATACATTTACATTACGTTGTGATAAAAACAAAAAAGGTCAAAATGATGAGCTGCTAAATAAAGTTTTTGACTTACAATGTTGATTTGATAAATCAGCATCGCTTTTAGTATTTTGTCATGACACAAAGTCAGAAACTATTAAAAAGGTGTATGACCATAAGGTGTTTTAAAGAAAAACTGAACCAAAGTTCTTGTGGATTCACCACAAGCCTCCTGTCATTGTCAGATATCTAATGTTCAGCACACAATGGAGAAAAGCCCCAGCAACATGCACAAATATCTACCGAACTGGTGTGTGGCCTCGAATACAAACGCGGTTTCAGATCCGTGTTGTCAAACTGCACAGCTGGAGAAAAACTATTACTATGTGCATAGTGTCAAATGAGTTCCATCACGTCATGTTTAAATCAGTAAGAGCAGCAGAAAGGCTCCGTCCTAAAGTGGTGAGGACAGTGTTGGTGAAGCCGTGTCCCCTCCAGGGTTTCAACATGCTAACAGACAGTCGCTGCCTGTGTGTTCACAGCCTAACAATGAGACACAGCAGGTGGCTGTGGTGTGACTGAGCAGCTTTTCATAGTGTTGGCACCGTTATCTCCATTCATACTCATCCAGTGAGGTGGAATAAATAAAATAACGAGGACTATAATGAAGGTAAAAACAGCAGCTCCACATTTCACATCAAACAGGTCAAAGGGATCTGGACAATTTACACATGAAGAATTTAAAGATCGGAAGGAAAAGGCAGTAAAAAAAAAAAAACACGATGCTCGCTGTGGTTCTTCAGCTCATCATCATGTCTTCTCCATTTACAGTGGACATTTAACATATCATCAGATCAGTGCTTTATTAAATAAACTGGCTTTTATTCAGATGGTTTACTCAATAATAAAACCTCTAATGTTTGACACGTCTGTGTGTTTTTATGCCACTTACAGCTGGAGTTTACATCCAACCCAGCCAAATCATTTTAAACTCCGTTTTTTCACAACTCCTGACATTTAGTCCTATAAACCTTCGATGGCTCAGGTCCGTTAGTGTCACTACTTGATTTGAAGAACGTGAAATGTTAGAATACTAGTAGACACAAAGATTTATTTCAGCTTTTATTTCTGTCATCACATTCCCAGTGGGTCAGACGTTTACATACATAGTATTTTGGTATTTGCTTTTAAACTGGTTAAACTTTGGTCCAACGTTTCGGGATGCCTTCCACAGGCATCTTAGATTAAGGTGCTGGAGTTTCAGCTTGTTCCTCCAGGACTTGGTCCCTCAGCCATGTTGCCACAGCTTTAGAAGTCTGCTTGGAGTCATTGTCCAGCTGGAAGACTCATTTGTGACCAAGCTTCGACTTCCTGGTTGAGGTCTTGAGATGTTGCTTCAATATATTCACATCATCTTCCTTCCTCATGATGCCATATATTTATTGAGGTGCCCCAGTCTGTCCTGGAGCAAAGCCCCCCACCAACATGATGCTGCCTGCCCCGTGCTTCAAGGTTGGGATGGTGTTCTTCGGCTTTTCTTCCACACAACAATGGTCATTATGGGCAAACAGTTCAGTTTTTGTTTCATCAGACCAGAGGACATTCGTCCAGAAAGTCAGATCTTTGTCCCCATGTGCAGCTGCAAACCGCCGTTGGCCTTTTTCATGGCATCTTGGAGCCTTCTTCTAGCCTTTCAGGTTATGTCAATACAGGACTGGTTTTACTGTAGACAGATACTTTGGTACCCGTTTCCTCCAGTGTTGTCACAAGGCCCGTTGCTGTTGTTCTGGACTGATTTGCTCTAATCAGACCAAAGTCTGGTCCTCTCTAGGAACAGACAAAAAGTGACAAAACTGCCATATGCATAAAAAACAATTAAAAGTGCTTTTCACTTCTTTTTTAGGCTTCAGAGCCACCGAAGTCGCCTTACAACCGTTTCCACACTCCTTGTGATGAGCAGCCCAACCTGGGCCACACTTCACTAATGACACATCCAAACTGGTATTTAGCACTCAAAACAATTTTAATCTTGTAATCATTGTCTAATACAAAACAAGTGCTCACTTCTTTTATTTGCATATTACGTCTTTATTCATCAATGCTCAAAACCCAGCATTAAGATTTATTCAACGCTACAACAGCAAAGATCTGTAAGGTCCTAAAATGCCAACAGGTCAGTTTACCCCTCAGGTGTTATTGCATTAGTTCCAAGTGTAACATAATTGTTTAAGACACGCTAAAAGGAAAAGTCACATTTAAAGGAGGTGAAGGACGCTGTGCATCATGCTATAGGTTCTGGCACACACGTGACTTTTTAATCAATGCTGATACTTTTTCTGGGAGATTGTATTAAATTAAAACAGAGATCTACCTAAAAAGGATGGATTTGGCTCCAGTCAGGTCCCTTGTTAGCATAATTATGAAGCAACACTGCTACAAATGACCAAACATTAAAATTCAGATGGGTTTAAAGGAATAGTTTGGTGTTTGCTCCCTTTCTTGCCAAGAGTTGGATGAGAAGATCAATTCATGACTCATGTCTTTCTGCTGAATCAGAAACTAAAGCCAGGTGGTGGCTAGCGTAGCTTAGCATAAAGACCAGAAATGGGGGAGAGCGGCTTGCCATTCTCTGAACTTTAAAATAACCCACCTACTCACATCTGAATACAAGTTATATGCTCAATAATTAACAGTAAAGAGAAATATTAACTGGTAGGTTAGTTTTTACTTTTACAGGGCCAAGCTAGCCGTTCCCCCACTTCCAGGCTTCATGCTGACTGTCTCCTGGCTGTAGTTTAAGAAGAGGCAGCTTTATTTATTGTCATTGTGACATGTACAATGACAGCCGAGGGCCCCGGGCTGCTGCTGCGTGCATACGCGCCACCATCACAGGCAACGGGTTCAGTGTGGACTGCAGGCACTGAGATTCGAACCTTCAACCCACTGCTCTACCCACTGCACCACTGTCACCTACAGTCATGAGAGTGGTATGAACTTTAACTCTCAGGAAGAAATCAGATAAGTGTATTTTCCAACTATTCCTTGAAGACAGGGTCCCCTAAATAATAAACTCCTAATAAAAACAATTAAAATCCACATAATACTAGCTTTAATACAAACAGCTTCTATGAGAAGGTGCTGTACATGAAATGAAATGTGTCGTCCTGCTAGAAAAAGTGATGGCGCTTATGTTTAAACTGCTACTTTAGTGGGAGACAAAAAATAATAATCACAACAAACACATCTGTCTTCGTTAAGCATGTACTGAAACATGACATGCAAATACTGACTAGACTCTGAAGGAATGATCAGTGAAGTCTGGTGATATTCTTCTTATTGTCATCAAATCAATGAAAACACCAAAACCAACACATCCTGTGTGTTTATCACAGCCTGATTCTCCTCCTCCGTCCAGCTCCACTCACCATCCATACACACTGGAGCTGGTTCTGACTCGATCTCTCCCTCACTCTCTCACTCACTCACTAGAACAAATGTGGATTCATCCACTGCTAAAAATAGTCCCTAACAAAATCACGGTTTCCTCCTGTTTGATTAAAGAAAAACTACAGTGAGAAGCTGGATAAAGACTAACAAAATTCAAGTATATATTCAAGAAGCATTTGTAAAGATTTACATCTTCAAAAACAGAGAAGGGAAATCCAGAGGTACCAGACACATGGACTAGCATTTAGTTTGGTTCGTTGACATTAACAAAAACACACAATATGATTAGGGCCATCCATTAAAACAGACTACTCTGATGTGAACACCCAACTGTGCAACCGCAGGATCGAAACCACAACATGTCACCGTTTTCCTGTGGACCGTGAATTAGTGATTACGACTCAAGTTAAAATACTGTAAATGACAGATTCTCTACTATTTGGGTTCAATTAGTCAAATAACCAGATAGTTGACCAACATAAAAACAACTATTTATTCATAATCCATTAATCGATTCTCAAAACCAGTGAAAAACAACTCGAGTTTGAGGACCTGTTGTTTTTCTGGTTCACATCACTGGAAACGCGTCACCATGGTCTCTGGAAAGCTACGATGACTTTACACTACTTTATAACACTTAATAAAGTACTCATCCAAAGTAAATCAATCATTGTTAAACTGTTGATTGCAGCCGTGTGTATTATGATGAAGATATATGGAACACCAGTGGGCTTTGTGACAGAAAACCAAGTATGGTAATGTGAAGAACTGCACACTACATAAAAAATACTGTATAACAATCAACCTAGAACAACACAACTCATCTCAGTGATTTCCAAGGGAACAGGAAACACCAACGGTGAAGATCAATAAGAGAATCCATGTTTCAGATCTGAACTTCTGGCTACAATTCATGGAAAAACATCTGAAAATCCTAACACACAAAGTAAAATGACGACCCGTTGGCGGTTTAGCTGGCAAACATCTGGATGTGACAGGAAAGGCCTACAACAACAGAAGTGTAACTGTTCACCAAACCCACGGCTGCAGAGGCTGATGGTGCATGTACACGTGCACAGACATCCGCTGTGACAGATTCAGGTCTCAGCTGGTTTTCCTGCAGATGCTTCAGCTTGTTTTAATTTAAAGGTGCAGTTTGACAGTTTGGGTTGATTCACACTCAAGTCTACATGTTAAATATGAAGCTACAATCAGGAGCCTGTTAGCTTAGCTCAACATAAAGCCTGGAAACTCGCTCGCTTGCCTATGTCCAAAACTAACAACAGCCAAGTATGAGCTCATATGTGATCAGGAGCATAACAATGGTTCTGGGGAACTTGTGATAACTGTGGCTGTTTCCCCTGAAAGTTAGGCTAACTTCTAACAAATCTGTTCCTCCACTGCAACAAGAATAACATGCCAATGTGATGGGCGTGCTAACACTTAACACAAGAGACTGGCCAGAAGTTCTACAGTCAGGAGGATGACAAGCTTCAGGATTTGGTGACAGCTCGTCCACAGGTCTGCGACAGAGCTGGCACTTTACAGCCATGGCATTATGTCGACAGGTGTTTCGATCATTACCCCCCCAGCCTTACATTTGTAAATATGATGTGCAAATCATTAGAAACCTGTCGATGCGATGCCTCCACTGTGAACCCCACCTGAAGTTTCACCTCAGTGTCACCAACCTGCACATCATCACCTTTGTAAAGACAGAACTTATGGCTGAACTGTTGTTCACAGGTGCTGACGCTGAATGTAAAGCTCCAGTTAAAACTTTGCTTTCTACATTTATTTTAACCGTTTTAGTTTGTAGTTTTGTTTCTTGCTCAAACTGCTACCAACAAAACAAACTCGACACTGTGGATTTTTGGACTGAAGGTCAAAGACAGTAAAGGCCATTACTGATATATCAGAATAAATATAGATGAATTAAATGCAAGTATATTACATGACTGTCAAAAACCCTGGAAACTTCAAAGTGTGGCTACATTGACACGACTGGGTGTGTGAAAGTAGCATCGACCGTCGCGCTGAACTCTCACAAAGTGACAACTTGTTCACCAAAATGTCAAACTAGTCCTTTACACCAGCAATAAATATATTTACACAGTGCAGCAACAGAAGCAGTGTCACCAGTTGAAGGATGTATAAGTAAATGAAATTAAAGGGAGATTGTGTAAAATAGTTATGAAACTTAACTCGAGTCTATTTCTATCAACTAAAGCTGTGTGGATATTTACCCAAATACAACATAAAATGATCTGCATGATTTGAGCATTTCTGACATGATCATTCAAATGTACTGTGCATCTTAAATATTATAAAGCATGTGCAGACACAAAGGAAAACTCTTCACTGCTCCAAACTTCAAAAAGTAAAATACTTTGATCCAGTGTCAAAAGGTTTTTGTTACCAGCCTCCGAACTACAACTGAACCCTGATGAACTATCACTGTACGCTCCCACTACACAGTAGTGGATTGTTTTCATGGCTCAAACTAAATTCCACTCAAAAAGAATATGTTTTTAAAAGGGGTTATAATTTGCATCTCATAGCTCTGGCTGATCCAAAAGGCTCTGACGCCATAAATAGAAGTATTGCTAAGTACCTAAGCACTAATTAAAAAAGCTGTATAAAAATGCAGAGCATCAGCTACCAGCTGCATGCTGTAGAAGCACTGGTGTTTACGTCATACAAAATGTACAAAATAAATGGGCTGCAAAACAACCAGAACACTTCATATGCACATATAAATAAAAGTACAGATGTCACCCGCCGAGGCAGGTGGGTCTCAAGTACCCAATCAATCCCACTGCCCCAGGAACATTTGATAAACCCACCCAGTTCAAATTCGGCTCAAGGCATTTTGTACTCTAGTAAATGAGAAACACAACTGGTACTGTACGTCATCCTGGTCATCTCCCATCAGGATTTGAGCCACGGGTGGGCAGCGATGGAGGCTTTGCTGCGGTCTCCATAGTCATAGAGCAGCTCCTCGCCCTTGTCAATGTCTCGAGAGGCGACAAGGATCAGGTGAGGGATGCCGTTGATGTCGTGGAGTTTGGTTTGGCAGTTTCCATTTTTACTGTGATTTATCAACCTACCCATTCGACCAGTCTCTTTTGTGGCGTCCACACTGTTGACACGAAAACATTCACGTCACTCTTTAAACTAGAAAACGTTTAATACACAAGCACAGTGCTCGGCCTCAGCTTCTCTTAATGTCAGCCCCTCTCCAGTGAAACCCCACAGACCCTCAGCAGACACCTAGCTTCTCTGTGAGCTGAAACTTTAAAGTCATTGTCCTTAAGATTTTAATAAATCAAACCCAACTCTTTATAGGGTCAACATTTTTCAGTGTTTATAAATCACTACACGCAGCTGGGTGACAAACATGTTCTGGTTAATGTGAGGAGCTGATGCTTTTCTTTGTCAGACATGAGAATCAGCTGAGTCTCTGTGGATCTGCTGGTTGTGGAGACGCCACCTTTGGCTCTGGAGAGTCACAGTGGGACTTT